ACTTTGGGGCAGGAGGATGTCATCTCTAAATTATTTGACTGCAAGCAGCAATATCTATCTTTCATGTACATGGTAAAAATAGATTTTTTTTTTTTTTTTTTGAAAGGAAGGCAGTGTAAAGACCCTTCCAGTTCCTACATTTTACCGACGAGGAAACTGAGACAGAGAGATTAATCGATGTGCTCCAAGTCCTACAGGGAATTTGTACAGAATCTGCCCACCACACAGCTCTCCAGGGGGGAGTTCCTGCCACTGAGGGCAACGGAGAGGCCGCCATCCCGGCTGTGGGCCTGCTAGTCCGCCCCACGTCCTGGGGTCGTCCACGGCGGACACCCGGCCACCACGCCGGCTACAGCTAACTCCCCAGCCACAGTCTGGCCCACTCAGCCTCCTGAAGCTCCATCAAGCCAACCCCCTCCTTCCCTGTTTCCCCACCTCCACACCCGGTTTCCACTCCTGGATCACAGCAGAGCTTTTTGTAACTTGTCTCCCTCCTTTAGGTCTGGTCGTCTCTGGAGAATCTTATTCGCAGTTGCCGAAGCCACACTTAATTGCTACAATATCGTCCATCACTTGCTTTTCCCTCAGGATCAGGTGTCAACTGCTCTGCCTCCCACTCAAAGCGTTTTGTAAGTCCCCTTCTCCCCATCTGTGGGCCGCATAAGAGCCCCTTGTCCTTCAAGACTCAACCCTCGGGTCAGATGGTTGGCGGCAGATTTCACGGGTCCCTGAGCCGAGGCTAACGCCCATTCCGGGGTTACCGAAATTGTCTGGGCAGGCGCTCCGGGCAGTTCATCCCTCCTGGCCACGGCCGTGCCCTGCGTCCCGCTGGCTGGCTGGGGCTGGCCTTCCTCCCTGCACATTAGATACATCGGCATGGCCTCAGTCGGTCCCCTCCTCCCAGTCGGTTCATCCTGCTCCAGGACCCTAGTGGCCCTTGATCATTCACACGGGTGACCCATTGTCCCGCAGAATGACCTGAGACACCTTTCTTCCCCTTGCTCTCAGCGACCTTCCCCGGCACGCCGACCAACTAGTAGTTCATCGCTGGGAACCTGCTCTCCGTTCGGTTCCCGTGAGCTGGTCCCTGAGATGCTGCTCCCCTGTTCCCATCATCCCCTCAGTGATGCCAGCATTTCTCACAGATTTGTATGCGAACAATTAGCACATTTCTATTTCTAATCCAAACATCCTTTTGGGGGCTTATCCAACTGCAAAATTTGCATCTCAATTTGGATGGCATATGGCATCTCTTAATGAACTAGGTCAAAGCCGAACTCTTGAAATTCCTCTAAACCTGTTCTCCCCTTCATTTTCCACGTCTCCCCGACGACGCCGTAATTCACCTAGTCACTCAATCCATAGCTTCAGGAGTTACTCTTGAGAACTGTCTTTAACCGTGCGTATCGAATCCATCACTGACGCTGACGATGCTGCCTTCGGACTGGATCCGAAAGCCATCTGTTTCTCATCACGTGAGCCGTCCCCGTCCTCGTCCAAGGCCGCGTGTCTCTTTCCCGGACTCCGACGGCACCTTCCCGGCTGGGCCCAGCGCTATCACTCGCAGCTGCCCCGGGCACCCCCAGCGGGGCTTCCAATCAAGACCTTCTCACTCTCTTGAGTGAAACCTCTCTGTAGACTCCCACCTACTGCACTGAAAAAACTAAATGAGACACTAGAACCCAAAGCTTTTTCCGACTACCCTCCTCACTGGCTGGGCTGCTCTGGCCCCTGCCTACGTCCCCACTTCATTTCCAGTGCCGTGGGGTGCGTCTCCTTGCAAACAAACCACCTCTTCGACGCCTTGGGGTCATTTCTTTTCCTCTTCTTTTGAGGGGCTTTGTCTCTTTTCAGACTTCACATTTCGGCTAAACGGTAGGTGGCTGCCTCCGAGAGGTCTTTCCTAAAATCCTCTGTCCAAAATACATCACTCCTCACCATCCCCTCATTTTTATTTCCAAGGAAGTTACTTATTTGTTTGCTTTTTACCGCCGTGCTCATCATCGGTTGGGAGCGCCCCGAAGGCACTTGCCGCCTCCACTGGTTCTCACACGGCACGGCGCCTGCTGCACGGGGAGCGCGCACGTGAAGAAAACCGTAGAAAGGGGAGCCTACAGGTACGCGCACATAGTCCATCCTTTTTAGTCCCTACCCAAATCTGCATCAGGTGTGAGCTGCCAGTGAGGTCCCCTTTCCTTCAAAGGGCCACCGCGTCTGTCCGTACAAGGGACGAACTGTCCTGCCTCCCGCCCAGCCTGGTGAGAAGCGGGGGGAAAGAGTCTGACGGCTGCCGACCCATGGCTCCTTCCCCAGAGGGGATATCTGGCGTCCACCTTGGAAATATGTGATACAGTCAGCGGTGACACACACCCCAGCACACCCAGGGCCCCCTGAGGGGCAGGGCGGCTCTGTTCTCCAACAGACATGCTGCACAGGGAGGTGCCCGCGTGGTTTCTCACGACACCGAGGGATACGTCGAGTCCTTGCAGGCCACCGCGCGCGGCCATCCCCTGCCCCTCTTCAGCGCACATCTCTCGGAAATGGAACGGCCCCAGCCAAGCTCTGTGGTGCCATGTTCTCCCAACGGTGTCAAGTTCACGGTCTCTCCAGATGAAAGGAGGGCTGATAGATGGCAAAAGGCCAAGCTGTGCCTTGCAAGGGCCCCTGACACACGGATGCCCACAACCATCTCGAGAGACAGAAGAAAGACATTCTCACTGCAGGGGGCTGCGCTGTTCGGTCCACGGCTCAGGCTGCGTCAGGAGAGCCGGAGTGAACTATAGCCGCCACACTCTTTAAGGGAGGCATCCATGACAGGAGGCCCGTGTTTCTGAGTGAAGGCTTCAATGCACAGAAAGGTAATCTCTCCAGAAAGCCAACAGCCCTTCATTCTACGTGTTCTTCTATATAAAAAAATGTATTCATTGTGGTTTGGTCTTGTTTTCCAGTTCTTTTTGGAAATGCATATGGGCAAACAACTAGAGTAAATTCACAACTGTTCAAGCACCGTCAGGGTGTTCAATTTACTCTGAGGTTAACAGTTGACTTCAATTGACAAATAAATATATATATTATTGATATATGTATATCTCAATTATATAAATATGGGGGAGAGGGAGTGAGAAGAGAGGGGGAGAGAGGGAGGGAGGGGGGAGAGAGAGAGAGGGAGGGGAGAGGGAGAGAGGGAGGGGAGAGGGAGAGGGAGGGGGAGGGAGAGAGAGGGAGAGGGAGAGAGGGAGGGGGAGGGAGAGAGAGGGAGAGGGAGAGAGAGAGAGAGAGGAAGGGGGGGGAGAGAGAGAGAGAGAGAGAGAGAGAGAGAGAGAGAGAGAGAGAGAGAGAGAGAGAGGCTAAAGATCATGCTTCTTACAGACCGAATCAAGTTCTCACAGGTTATACTTCAGTTCAAGTGAGATTACAACGAAGGTGAACAACAAGTCCCCAAGTCCATGGACAAGTCCAACGAACAACTCTTCGATCGTGCTTTCTGGTCTATGAATTCCTTCTCGGGCGCACGCTTAGGGTTCTTGGCACGGGAGGGAATTTGGGGGGCGGCAGCTGCTATTCCACCGTTTTCTCTGCCCGTCTCCCACCCTCCACTCGTGTCCTCATCATTGTCCCATCGTCCCCAGCCACAGGAGGCCTGGCTTCCTGGCATTGCCCAAAGTTCTCCACCGGGGTCCACTCGCCTGTTTAGGGTTCTGCGTCCTCGCTGCGCTATCCTAGGCCCACTGCACACCTGGGGAGTGGGAGTCTCTGAGCTGGAGCCACTAAGATTGCAAGGAAAAGAGGGGAGAAAGGCTCCGTATGTGATTCTAAAGCACATCCAGGCTAAAGAACCACTGGCCTCAAACATATTTGAATTTGAATCATGCCTGAATGACATAAGAAAGGTGTTTAACTCACTAATCCTTCAGAAAAAAATAGCCTACTGCTGGTAACCTTTACTGAAAGTTTACAATGTGTTGAATAATATGCTAAAAACCCTACGTAAATATCTCATTTCTATCATGTCATAATGCTATGGGGTAGATATTGTTGTTAATCCATCTTACAGGCAAACATACTGAGGCACGTTGAGTTTCATAAAGGTACGGAGGTGGCCAAGATCACGTATCTGGTGACTCACAGAGCCAGGATACAAACCCAGGTAGTCCGAGCGAGGGCCTCCCAGGATGCCTGGCGCAGGGCAAGCGGCCGGTGCGGCCCTCATCGCCGGCAGCACGTGTGATCACCACCCTGGCCATCCCCCTCCCCAGACGTCCACACCGAACGCTGACCCTGCCCGCAGCCAGTGAGCGGTGGGCGCCTCGCCCCCTTCTCCGGGGTTTGGGAGGGCAAGACGTCACCCGGTGTCTCACAGAAATAGGCCCTTAGAGAGCTGTGCATCTCAGACACTGCTCAGGGAGAGTGCCAGAGCCCACGCTCTCATTTCACGGCCCCCGGAATGTAATATGGATCCGGAGAAGCGCTAGGTTCTCTTTCCGAGCAGGAAACCTCAGGTCAATTTTGGGAGAGCTGCTGGGAAGCTATGCCTGTGCCAGAGCCATATGTCAGCGCCCAGCAGGGTCCCCTCTATAACTACAGGGAATGCGGGGGGCAGTCTGGAACGCTCTGCAAGCTTCCTCTGGCACCGCAGCAGCAGCGTGGGGAGCTGAGCATCCATGCTGGGCTTCCCCAGCCCGGGTGCCTGTGGAGGCTGCTCCATGGGCAGCTCGACCTGCCTGTTTCCCTTTTGGGGGTTTCTCCCACCCCAGACTTTTTTTAAAGTGCTACTTTTTTATTGTTATGGTCAGAAGGGAGATTTTTTTGAACATACGCTGTCTGAAGGTATCATTGCCGTAGAAATACGTTTCAGCCTTAGCTAGCAAACCCAGCCCCAGGTACTGTACCGTGTGTGCGGTGATGGACATAGGCACAGAAAACACACGCTTCGGTGGCAGCGCTGACGCTCCACACGCAGAGAAGCAACGCCCCCCGGCGCGCCCGCGCGGCCCCCGTACCTGTCATGTTGCAGTACACCTTCAGAGGGCCCAGCGGTCCGCTGCCGTCCGGGTCGATCCAGTAGTAGTTCGACGTCTGGCCCAGGTGTTTGTACGCCTCGCAGGACGGCTCGTAGATGGCTGCAAGGGAACGTGGGACGTGAGCACCGCACAGAACAGGTGGCTCCCCACACAAACACCCCAGGGACGCGTCAGGCCCTGGACCCAGCTGCTGGGGACTGGGGCCTCTCGCTAGACCGAGCATCCTTTTCCTCCACGTCTAAATGCACGGTTTGGTTTCTCCTCCGTGGGCATTTCTGACCTAACGAACGAACGTAACAAGTTCTGGCTTTACAGTCAGGGAGAAGAGCTCTGAAAAGTCAATACATTATTAAATGAATGTAACATTTGTTGTATTGGGATCCATGATTGTTGAGAAAATATTTAATCTATAGTTGCAGATAGCATCTTCTGACTGTGAGGGGATGTTATTTTTGCAAGGTAAGTGTTGTCTGCTTGGCTTGGCTATCAACTAAGAGATTTCTCTCTCTCTCTCTCTCTCTCTCTCTCTCTCTCTCTCTCTCTCTCTCTCTCACACACACACACACACACACACACACTTTTTTTGCATAGGTGTCTGATTTCACGGGATTTCTGTTCTTCCTTTATTTCAGGAAGAAAGGAAAGGAATGTCCCTGCTGCACTTTGTTACAGGTGCTTTAATTACAGCAAATTTTGTTTGTGTAGAAAGCTGGTATCAATAACTGAATTACAGGTTCTTCTCCATTGTTTTCCTCTTTGTTCCCACACTCTTGACACTTTTTTTTCTCCTAGGAAACTGCACCTGTTTTCAGAAGTACAAGATGGACATTTACATGTTGCCTTTCTCGAGAGAACGAAAATATTATTGCAAAAATGTTTTGACGCCTATGAGGAATTTGAATGACCTCTTTACCAAACTAAGAATTCCGGTACAACTCACTGCCTCTGAAATGCAAGCAGCAGGGTCTTTTGCTAACGTGCACCTGAAGTTGAACCCCAGCATCTGTCGCTTGCTTGGTGATGAAGCAGGAGGTCCCGTTCAGGGACTGCCTCTCCTACCTTCCTCCTCCACCTCCCCCCAGGCCTCCCTTTGGCTTCCCATGGTCTCCTCTCTGCAAAGACCTTAGACCTCCGATAACAATGAAAAGTCCATTTCATTTTAAAAACAACACACTAGACTCCAACAATTCTGAATTTTTTTTTATTTACTTAATCCGTCTTGCTTCCCTTCCTCCTTTCCTGCTGCAAACAGTTGCTGAGCACTCAGGACGTGTCGGGCGGTGGACGAGGCACCACAAACACAGCGGTGAACAACACGGATGCAGGGTTTTGGAGAGGGGTTTGCTCTCTAGTTCTGCGGGCGCTCCTGCATCATCAAGCGCTCCTGGGAGAGGATGTGGCCAGAAAGCACGCAGAACCCCACACACCTTTTGTCTCATGTAACGATGAGTACGTCCACTGGCCATTTCCCAATTGTCTACTGGCATAATAAATTATGGCTACTCATATTTTGAGTGCCATACCAAGTGAGAGGCAGTGAGAAAGTATTTGAAAACCTGGAGCGGGAAGAGCAACAGTTGGAGGTAGGTTTTAGAAAGAAAACTCCTTGCAGCAGAAGATAGATTCCAGGGAAGTGGTTCGGAAGGCAAGAGCATTTCAGGGGTTACTGCCGTAGGCCAGTGGAAGGATGACGGCTCTTTGTGAGAATATGAAAAAGCATGATGTCGATGCACCTGGTCCACGTGTTTCCAAGAGCAACAGGACTCGGGGACCAGATGAGTGTAGGCAGGAAGGAAGGGAGCTCCGGATGCCCCACACCCACCCTCTCTGAAAATAACAAGTCAATATTTGTCTTCACGACCTCTCTCCAGCTTCTTGTAATGTCTTTGCACAGCTCAAATCCATCCGCAAGATCAGGTTTGAATTCTAAAGTCTCTTTGGCCAAACTGCCATGAAAACTTCCGCCTTTCTCCTCTCCTATTGAATCATTGGTCACTCTCTTCCTCCCCTGCCAACACCCCAGTCATTTTCTTTACCATCGGGGATGTGGCTCACAACAATCGCGTTGTATTAATCCGTGGTCGTACCCAACTATCTCTTCACTCCCCACCCAGTGATGCTTTTTTTTTAATCCAGTGTTATTCTAGCCTTAAAACATTCCTTCCATAAAGTTCGGAGAATGTGTCATGGTTCCTCAGCATCTACGATGTTATATCCCAGATCACGCTCTCTGCCTGCAAGGCTCTCCACAACCCAATCGATCTCCCCTGGTTCTAGCACCTTGCCGAGGGCAGCCTTGCTCTCTGGTCAGGAACACCGGGCACAGGGGACTGCTCGCCCCTTCCAGGGCCTCCTTCATCTGCAGGGCGCTACAGCCTCCTTGTGCACCTAGCCACCGCCGCAATCGGAGCCGACTACTGAGGCGGAAGTGGTAAGAGACGGGGCTCTGAGGTCAAACAGGCTGGGGCTGGAATTCAATGGACTCTGCAGAGTGCTGTGTACATAACACTGGCAAAGCTTCCTAACTTTATTTGGTCTTGTCTGGAGAATGGGTATTGTAGGTTTATTGAACGGTGTCTTGAGATTTGGAGGAAGTAATCGATGTCAATGGCTTAAAATTATATCTGGCCATGGTAAATATTTAGTAAGTGGAGTTTTTATGATCAGTGTAATAATTATTATGGAGGTCCTCCTCACACTCCTCCTTTCTTGAGGAGACCCCGCACCCTCACCCCGTCCGTGGTCAGTATGTCTGTCTGTCTGTGCAGTTCAGGCCATTCGCTGCTCATCTCAGGCACTGAAATTCTTCATTATAATCAATTTAGGGCCTGATTAACTATTAATTGAATTTCATATACAAAAGCTTTATTTCCTAACAAGACTGCGAATTTTCTTGAAGGGCGGGCCCAGAAAATATATTTTTCTTTTCTACTCCATATAATCTAACATGGTAGGAGTTTAAGAAAAGCTCTCAGAACTGAACTGAACATGTACCTACGCTTCATCCTGGTCTGACTTTGACAAAAATCCTTGCTTAGCTGGCTGAGCAGGAGAAGCCCAGGCAGACAAGGTAGGACAAAAGAAGGGTCACAGTTGTTTGTATGGAAAACAATGCCTAATTAATCAACAGTCACACAGGAATAAACTCTGTGTTTTGCGTACTCACAACTGTACACCTACCTTTGCCCCACCCTCTAGGAAGGCAGGACTGGGTGGTAAGAAGTGTCATGTAGGTCACTACTGCATTTCTAAGGAAGCATGTAAGCATTTTTAAAGAGGGCTACACACCTAACCCAGGTACCTAAGGGCAGATGTGGAAGGCACATGGTGAGGGACAAAAGAAGCTCTTCTCTTTTTCTTCAAGCAGTGACAATTATGCTGCTTGCCTTCAACCTAGCACAGGCCTACGGGCTGCTGTTGCCTCACCAACGCATTTCAGTCCAACTTCATCTCCTGTGAAAACCACCCGGCGTGCCTGTGAGACAGGGGCCCCGCCTCCGCCAGGAGCTCCTGGCTCAGCATGGGGGCCTGCAGCTCTAACAGTCTCCCCAGTGACTGCAGACCCTGCTGGTCTGAGTGCCTTTTGGGAAGCGCAGCTCTAATCCTGGAAAACACAAAGTTAACTCTAAAAGGGTGGACTAATTCTTGACTGATATTTAAATTCAAATAGAAAAAGTAAGTCACCAAAAGGCAATGCAGTACAATTGTAAATAAAATAAAGCTAGAATGCCACCTCGCTTCACTCAAAATAATAACAATGGAATGTGATACAAAACTCTAAATGCAAATGCAGTGTCAAAAGAAATATACTCGGGGGAGTTCGCAGAAAAATAGTTAGAAAGGAATACACTAAAACAGCAACAGTGATTATCGTTGAGTAGTAAGGTTATGGATGATTTAAACCCTTTCATTCTTTTCTGTATTTTTCACATGAGTTTATAATGTGCACAAGTTACATTATCATGAAAAACACTGTTGCAAAATGTGTATTTGGGAAATGGCACCCGAGGTAAAATGGCAAGGACAGCTGGAATACCAAAAAATGACATTAGTTTTATACGTGAATAAGGAATTAAGAGATTTTCATTCAGATCTCTTTTTCTGTCATTTACTACTTGGGAACTTCCCTGAACTTGGTTTCTACAACTGTAAATTGAAGGCAAAGATAATACCTCCCTGGCCGAGTCATCGTAAAGATGAAAGGAAGTCGCACACTGTGTAACTCAGGAGCACTGAGCACACTGGAACGTTAATGCAGAGAAGGAGCTGACCACAGCATTTGCCTGCACGCCTCTGCCGGGTCCTAGCTGGGCTGCAGGATTTTGCACATCCAACAGGCGGAGCCGACAGAGCGCCAGGGGCCAGAGAAGAAAGAGAAGGGTCTGAACCACCCTCAGCTGAGTTTTGCTAGTGGACCGTCAAAGACCAGCAAGGAAACCAGGCTGGTGGCAAAATAAATAGACTCGTTAAGTCCATTGGTTTACAGGTGTTCCTGCTTTTCAAAAGTTGGCTTTATGCGACTGTGACTTTGCTTTTGCAGCCGACCCTGACCTTACATGAATGCTTGTTTTTGCTAACTGAAGGCCAAAAGGGAAAACAGCACTCAGCGTTTGTTTTGTGGGGAGCCTGCAGAGGCGGGGGCACTCCAAGGAGGAGCGAGAGTGGCCCCCTCAGGCTCCCGCCCTGGGAGCTACGCTCAGCACCTCAGCATGGGTGGAGCCCCAGGCTCTGGGCGGTGTCTGTGAGCCTCTGCGCTTCGTCTCCACTCCTGCTGCGCATCCGTTAGTGCCCGAAAGTCACGGCTTCAGGGCTGCACGCCACTCGGACCTACAAAGGTTTCACAGGAACGCTCCGAGAGTGGGAGGGAAACCTGTAGTGGAAAAAGGTAGTTTTTCTCTGTCGGAACTCCCAGGCCCAAAGAAAGGGTCTCGTCGTCTTCACCAGATCCCAGACATTCGGAGATCCCACAACTGAACACATCAGATTGAACTGTGGAGCAGGAACAGATCCAGGGAGCGGTAAACCCTGAATCCTCACTCCTTCTCAGTAAAGAGAATGTCCGAGTAGCGACACGGTAGAGGAAGTGGAAGGTGACGAGG